GCTCGGCAAGCTTCCCTTTGGGACTGCACCCTCCTGAGGCCCAACTAGAATACTCATTGGATCCTCATAAGTTGCATTGATGAGAAAAAATAAACTTTAACACAGAATAAGCTTTCTCTGACTCAAACAGTTTAAGAATTCAAAGGGCAAGCCTAAGCTATTATGTTAATAAAATACAGTTACGTTCAAGGGGGCTGAAGGGTGATGGCCTTAACTATACAAGAACTCTGCCCTGGCTGGGTATCCCGGGCCCATTAGAGTGTCATCCCAGTATTCAAGGTTACAGGTTCGGTCCCTGGTCAGGGCACATACAAGAAATAACCAATGAATGCATGGATGAGTGGAACAACAAATCAATGCTTCTCTCTCTCCTTCCCTCCCTCTCTCTCAAATCAATAAATTTAAAAAAAACAGTAACACAAGAATGCTGAGTAAAGAAAAACTTTTTTCTTTAAAAGTAAATGCTTTTTATTATTCAGTTACCAATAATCCCACTTTCTATAAACCTCACTGGCTATGATGCTGTACTTTTTTAATTAAATGCACTATGTAGTATGAATGCATGATGGTATTTTATCTTTTTAGAAATATATATTTTGGCTCTATCCAGTGGCCTATAAATGAGTGTTTGTTACATAAACACTGTTTTCCACTAAAAATAACCAGGCTGATTCCAGGTCCAAGGCAGGAAATGTCCTCTCAGATAGAAAGGAAGCCTTAAAAAAATGACTAAAGTTGTATCATAAAGACTCAGGATCCAACTTCAAAAGGCTGTTTGCCAAAGATAGGACAATTTGAGCCTCAATAGGATCAAATTTCCATGGTTTGAAAGATGAAATTCATGAGTTTATACAAATGCCTCTCCACGTCTCAATGTCACCTTCAGGGAGCCACACCCAGGGCTTTATCCTAGAGGTAAAAGCCACGTCAGCTCTGCCCTCTCCTCCTGCTGCTGCCTGGAGTTCTTGCTCAAGTCCTGGGGTTCCCGCCAGCCCAGGATTCACCCAGAGCTCTCCCCGGGCAGACCTTCCACTTTACTTAGAAAATCGTAGCACTTTCGCCTGCGATGGATGTTGCCACAGCCAGCTCCTTAGTGGTCAGTGGTCCAGTGGTTCTGGAAACAGTCCTGTGACTGATCATCCAGGTGACCATCCCAGGGCTCATACCTGTCATTTGGTGGCTCGAACTTAGAATTTCACTGAGGCTTTCAGTATGAAACTAAATCTCTGCATTTGTTTTCTCTGTGTGTCTTCTGAACTATGAATTCTTCTACTTAGACTTTTTCACCACCCCGTTCCATATTCTCTGTCTTCTAGGAATTCTGCAAATATTACGGTTCTCTAATGGCAAGCTTTCTGGTTTTTCAGTGGGACTCTGGTTGAGGAGACATAAATGCAAATGTTTTTAGTTTATCATCTTTTATTTCTCCAACAATTGTTTCTCAAAGGTAATGATTTTTTTTTAACTCACAACTTGTGACCAGATTATTAACTCCTAACATTGTCCATGCTTAGGCTTGGGGGAGAAAATGTACAATAACCACAGAAAGACATTAAGTTGGTGTATGGAAAGGCCTATGAGTATTATAACCTCACGCATAGCAACTATGTTTCTCACTTCTGTAAGTTGACAAAGGTCCTCTCTTCTCCCCAAACCTAGAACTGCTGACCATAGGGATTTCCTCCGGGCAGCGTCCTGAAGGGAGCCACCTCGTGGACACCCTGCAGTCTCTCTTCTTTGCTTCCTCCTCATCCGAGCGGAAACACTTCACCGTTCTGGTACACCTCGCAGGTCCTGACCCCAAATGGCTTGTCCAGATGATCTACAACCTCTCAGCCATGTTTGAACCACACATCCAGGCCAGAGAGCTGGTGGTGATCACTACTCCCCTCACAAGCTATCTTCCTTTGAAGGATCTTAAAGTGACCTTTAATGACCCTCCTGTCCACACAGCCTTCCACTCCAGGCAAAACATGGACTATGCCTTCCTCATGAACTTTGCCACCCAGCATTCTGACTACTTCCTGATGGTCGAGGATGATGTGAAATGTGCCCCCGGATTTGTCACCCAGATAGCTACTGCCGTGTCGGCCTGGGCAAACAGACCCTGGGTGACCCTGGAGTTCTCCCCGCTGGGCGTCACCGGGAAACTCTTCCGTACTGGAGACGTGCCCCGCTTTGTTCACTTCCTTCTCCTCTTCTACCGAGAAGTGCCCTGGGACTGCCTCCTCTCCCATTTTCAGGCCCTGCTGCAGCACACACCAATCAGGTTCCTGCCCTCCCTCTTCCAGCAAGTGGGCAACTCCTCCTCCTTTGAGGAGGATGACACTGGCTCTCCCAGCAACCCTGCTGCCTCCATCCACACCAGCCTGAAGGCTGCCAACGACTCTGCTCCCTCGCACGCCTACAGCCTGGGTGAGAATTTCTTTTACACCAAGTCGGCTGAGCCTGGCAGCCATCTGACTGTGGTTCTGGATGTACCTGCCCACGTGTCCCGAGTTCAGGTGCTGACTGGCTCTGACCCGAGAGGCTGGAATCAGCTGGAAGAGGGGCAAGTAGAACTGGGCTGTGACTCTACAAACAGGGTCAGTGACTGTGACGACTACACTCTGCTGGGGCTGCTGGTAAATGGCGTCCTGAACAAGCAGGTGTTGTCTCCCACGTCTGGGAAGAAGGTGAAATGTGTGAGACTGCTTGTGACAGCCGCTGCTCCCTCTGGAATAGTGGTCAGGCACATCCACCTCTGGACCAAGTGAGGTTTAAGTGATAAATGGAGAAGCCACCAGGAGTTGGGGGAGTGGTCAGATTGGAGGTTAGAGTCTACAGAGGTTAAACAAACAAAAGATTAAAATGTTGAACTTGGGTCCTTTCAGGGTTGTTCGTTCATAAGAGATGCGTGTTGAAAGGCAGAGTGAAGGTCACGTACTCTTGGTCCCAGAACCACTGGTGGACGAGGTGGGCTTGTTAAAAGCCTTCCTGGTTTACTCACCAGAAGGTCTACCATTCAGAATTCTTCCCTTGGAGCAGGAACACCAGACTCGAAGGAACAGGAGGAGCACGTGGGTAGGACTGAATGATGCTCATATCACGACGGGACGGGGGTCTCTCCACCAGCAGAAATGGACTCATTAAAGGCGGAACTTCCTGTGTGGCAGGAAAGAAACATGACTGTGTGCTCTGTGGTCTCATTTCCCATTAAAGGTGGTCATTCGATACACACTACTGACCCCTTTATGGTCAGGCAGAGTCCTCTTCTCCATGGTCACCCAGCATGTCAGGTATTCCTTTTCAGATAGCCTCCAAATTGCTGAAAATCACTTGTTCTGATCTGTAATAGCTCCTGTCCAGCAGTCTTATCTCTGGGACTATAAGGTAAAACAGGTTTCTGATAGGAAAACCTTTGGATATGTTACTAATTTTTTTTAGTTCAGTTTGGCTATGAGATCTTTATTTCTAGAAAAATCTGAGCCCTGAGCTCAGCTAATGTGCAGTGTCTGGTTCTCACTAGCTTGACTATAATCCGTGAAAGCAGGGAGAGGAGGAAAGGAGAGGAGAACTCTAAGGGATATTTGGGAACAACCCAAATCAAAAGCCAGCCAGTGTGTCCCCATGAGCTGTAACCCAAGGAGATGCAGGAGCCGGAGAGCCTGGAAACAGGATATGGGACAAAAACAAGGAGAGGGTGGGGACAAATAAGGGCAGGAGGGAGAAGCTCTGAGCATCGGGCCGCCACAGGATCCACCGCAGTGACGACAACCACAAAAGGCAAAAATGGAGGGGCAGGAGGTTGAGGACAGTCACCCCAGTAAGTCAATCCCGTGCCTGGTTCTGGATCTCAGCCAATTTTCAGGTCCATGTGCATTGATGGAAGAGGTGGGCAGGTCCCTAGAAGGAAGGTCCCTGAGACACAAGTCCTGTAAGATTCCCCAGACACCCTACCACCACCACCACAGCGCCTTACAGACATGTACTTGGGTAACTGTAAGCTGGGGAAAGGGAAACACCCAGACATTTAAGGAGGTCACCAGTTCGATTCCCAGTCAGGGCACATGCCCTATAACTGGATATCCTGTAACATGGATGGTTCCTCCAGGAGTCAAATGGGGCCCTCTAATAGGGAAGCGATCACTCAATATCCACCCTTGTTGATTTGATTCAAGCTGACAGTTAATTTTCAGCTTCTCGGTTGAGATAAGACTGGAAAGCTGGCTTTAAACCCTTATTCCCACCGTGTCCAGAAACAGGTGCTTGAGGTGAGCAGTCCCCATTCAGGGTGAACAATGGTTGTCAGGGAGGGTCTCCTGGGATGGTGACTAGTTTCTGCTGCCTCAGAGGAGCCACTCTGGGCTCCCACCCTGCAGCATTGAAGTTTTTTTCTCTGTGATTTCAGAGAAATCCCTGCTCTCTGCTGGTTTATCAAGCCACATTTTCTGTTAGACACAAAGCCTCCCATGGCTGTGGCTCTGCAAACCTGGTCAAGACTTCCACAGAATTAGAAATTTCCAGCCACTTCTAGGTTTCCATCCTTCCTACCAGTCCAGGGTGGAGGAGACACGCAAGAGTTTCCCTTGATCCTTCTGACTTGATTCAAAACCTCGTAATCTGTCTGAAATAACCCCCAGTGGAGACTTAACTCAAGTTTGAGTTTAGGGAGCTAACACCTAACCCTTGATTTCTGGCAACACATCCCCGCTGGTGGTGCCTCTACTCCAAGTGGCTAAACCAATGTGCTCCAGTTCCACCTGGAAACCCAGACAGGAGCTGAAGAAGGCAGCAGCTGAATAGAACCAAACTCCATGACCTTTGTCTCTCCTTAGATGGCTATATTGGAGGGAATGTAGACGGGGGGCCAAAGTGGGTAGAAAAGATTTAGAAAGTAAATTGGCAGAGGTGTCCAGGAGCAAGGGTGGGGCAGGGAGGGGAGGCCGCAGGAAAGAGGAGGACACGCCTGGCTTCTCTCACTCAGGATCCAACTCCTGCCGAGTGCCAGGCCCAGCACCATGACGCTGTGGAGATACTCCCTCCTGGCTGTGTCCCTCGTCTCCCTGAGCTTCTTCCTCCGGGACAACAGGAGCAAGCGCCTTGAGTACAGCGTGTCTTTGGTAAGTTCCAAATTGGGAGGGATTACTTGCCAACACTTCGGCAGGGAGGAAATATGTCCAGTTATGCAAACACGCAGCATCACCATAGAAGTTCTAAGAAGAGGGCACTTGAAGATTCAGGAACATGTCAAAAAAAGGTATTCACCCAGTCTTGAATATGGCCAGGATCTGCACAGGGTGAGGGAGGAAGAGGGCATTCTACGTGTGGAGAGAGCCTTGCCCAGACCTTCTAGGCGGCCCTGCTGCCACTCTCCTCACTTCAGGAAATGGTGCTCCTCCCACCCTCCCTCAGGGACAGACTCAAGCCCTAAGATGACTCCTCCCACATGCACAGCGTCTGCAGTGGAGAAGGTCATGCTCAGGTTCTGGGGTCCACCTTCTCCCCATGTGCCTCGGACCGGCGAGAGCAGAGGGGGAGGTGGCTGTGGGGCAATGTGTGGCCAGAGCTGAGCGAAGAAAGGCCTTTAGAACTGAGGCGCCAGGTGTCGTTCCTTCAGGACAAGACAGCTCGGTCTTCAGCAGCTGTCCCAGCAGCCAGCACAGGCCAAGCAGAGCCAGGGGCTCTGCCAGCTGGTAATGGTGGAGAAATTAGACCTGGGCAAGGTGGGGCAGGCAGGTTCTTACTCTGCAGAAGCCTGGGACCTTCCCACAAGCATTCCACACCAAACTGGAGAGCCCCACTTCCCCGACCCCAAGGCCCACCACCCCTTCCAGCACCACGGGTGTTCTCATGATGAGGTGGGGACAGTGCTTCACTGAGCCCCGACACTCGAGCTCCCGGTGACTGGACCCTGGGGCTTACTTGGTCTGTCCTAGAAGGAAGATTTGCCCTCATTTGTCTCCAGAGGAGCTGGGGTGACTCTCAGGGCTGACGCTTACCCATCCTCAGCAGGAGGAAAAGAAGAAAATGCTGCAGCAGCTGGACCAGGAGCAAGTCAGCTCTGAAAGCAAGAGCCACTCGGAGACCTTCAAGGAGATGCAGAGACGCTCCCCTGTGCTCCAGCTCACCAGCTACCAAGTCCTGGCTGGAGCCCTTCCCCAGGAGAAGAGTGAGTGCGCGGGAGAGAGGCCAGACTGAGGGAAGAGGGAAGGGGAGGACCCAGAGGGAGATGAATGTGATGGGTGCCAGCTCACTGGGCACTGTACTACGAGAGCCCGCCGGCTCCTCTGTCCCTGCAGACCCTGCCATCCAGGTCTGAGGTCCCGGCTCATATGCCACGCCAGCAGATTTCCCTTTGGTACAGGGCAGCCTCCCCATCAGAGAGCCTTGTCCTCCAACGACCTTGCAAAGTAGTGATCAAATAAAACCACTTCACCGTCTGACCAAAGATTAATCTCTTATCTAACCACACTCTCCAAGGGAAAGGAAATGTGACTTTGTCCCCAGGGGTTGGCATTAAGGAGAGAGGGGAGGAGGGTCTTGTCACCACCTAGAGTGCTAATGGTGCCCTATGCCTCCCACCCCCAGAACTACTGACGGTGGGGATCTCCTCAGTGCAGCGTCCTCATGGGAGCACCCTCTTGCACACCCTGCAGTCTCTGTTCCAAGCCTCCTCAGAGTCTGAGCTGGACTGTATCGTGGTGCTGGTCCACCTGTCAGATCCTGACCCTGCATGGCGCAGCCAAATGGTCGCCAACATATCAGGCCTCTTCCAACCTCATCTTGAGGCCCAGAAGCTGCTTGTGATCCACGGTCATCTCGGTGGCTCTCTTGTCCCAGGAGATCGGGGCAACATCAATGCCTCCTCACCCTGTGAAGCTGTTTATTCCAGGCAGAAGGTCGACTACGCCCTCCTTATGAACTTCGCCGTCAGCCTCTCTGAATACTTTCTGATGGTAGAAGATCACGTGGGCTGCACCCCCAAGTTTGTTTCTACCATCTACTGGGCACTGGCAGCCTGGACAGAACGACCCTGGGTGACCCTGGAGTTCTCCAGCCTGAGCTTCTCCGGGAAAGTTTTCCACAGCAGCGACCTCTCCCGCCTGACCACCTTCCTCCTCCTCTTCCCTAAGGACACGCCTACTCACTTGCTTCTCTCTGAATTCCGCCTTCTCTTGGCCCAAGACGTTCCTATTCGTTTCAGTCCCTCCGTCTTCTATCCGACGGGCAATTATTCTGCGTCCGAGGACACCTGCTTTCCTGTGGAGAAGGAAGTGGTCTTTGGTGATCCGGACAACCCGGTAGCCAGTGTCCTCACTGACATGAGGCCGATACCGAATGTGATTCCCCAGTACGCCTACTTTCTGAACACGGAGAGCTACGTCACCCTTGATGCCTTGAGGGGCAACTACCTGGTGGTGGTTTTGGAAAGGCCACAGAAAGTGGTCCGCATAGAGGTGCTGACAGGTGCTGACAAACAGGGGCAGTACCGGCTGCAGCAGGGCCAAGTAGAACTGGGCTACGACCCCCTGGCGCACCCCGAAGGCTGTGCGCGCTACACCGTGCTGGGCCCGCTGGTGCAGGGGAACTTGGACCAGAGGGTGTTTTACGAAGAGGGCGCCGTGGAGCAGCTGAGCTGCATCCGACTGCTGGTGCTGGCCTCTCAGGGCTCCTGGCTCTTCATCAGGCAGATCAGGGTCTGGACTCAGCCCGAGGAAGAGGAGCGCTAGAGGCACACCGGGGATTCTGCAGGGACGGGCCTGGGGAATGCAGCCTGCATGGCCGGCAGGAAATAAAGCTAGACACGGGCCCAGGCCTGTGCACTCGGAGCGGGGTGACCGTGTAAGTTACTGTCCAAACTGGGGTGCGTGTGAGAAGGAAAGGAAGCGGCACTGAAAATCACACTCCGACCGCAGAGGCGCGCCAGCCTGCCCCCGGCGAGCAGAGGTGTGCGCTCAACCGCACCCAGTTTTGTGGGCCACGTTAGACTACACAGTCTGAGAGGGAGAGAGGGGAGCTCCGGTCCCGCCTCTACCCCGCACGGTCCCCACGCCCTGGGCCAGGTCCCGC